TGTGTGTGTGTGTGTGTGTGTGTGTGTGTGTGTGTGTGTGAGTGTGTGTGTTTGTGAGCGTGTGTGTGAGTGTGTGTGTGTGTGTGTGTGTGTGTGTGTGTGTGTGTGAGGAAGAGAAACAGACTAAACACACTCATGAGATGGTATGTAAAGCCGGAAGACTCTGAAGCATCAGCTGACGTTTTGTTGATTTGTATTTGATGTATGAAGTAAATTCTCCTGAAGTTCACACATTGGTAGAGAATCACATTCACTGTCTACATCATCCACTAACAAACACTCTTCATCTTCAACACAACACTGCGTCTATTGGTTTAGCGTTTCAAATCTTACAAAAATATCTATAGAAACAGAGACATGCTTGTTTCACTTTCTTTTTATTTACCATTTCATAATTTGTCCTCATCTGTTCAAGATTCATCATAAACATTATACATGCTTTGGTGACACATTGTAAGATTTGTCATACCAATAAAGCACATTAGAAATGAAATGAGAAAGAAAGTGCAGCACCTTCTGTTTTCATGAACAACTAGAAAACAAAACACCTAATACTTTCTGAATTATATTTGAGAAGACAAAAAAGAGGAAACGTAATATTAAAAAAATGCTTACCAGTGCATTTTGACTGGCCGTTGCCATAGTTACTGTAACCCTGGTGACATTTGCAGCTGTATCCGCCTTGATTATTGTAGCAGTGTGCGTTTGTGCCGCAAACATCTGGATCATCTCTACACTCATTGGTGTCTGTGAGAGAGAGAAGACTGTCAGTGTTGTTAACGTCATTTTAACAAAACACATTCTTGATGTAAATACTTTCTGAATTATATTTGAGAAGACAAAAAAGAGGAAACGGGCATTCAAACATATGATCAGAATGACATCTGATCTGTTCTCCAGAAACCGGATGAGATCATGAACAAATGAGACTCATTCATTAGCCAGACAGAAATGCACCATCTCTGCACACAATAAACAAAATATAATGCATATATTAAGTAATGGTCATTTTTGGACTGCACACTGGCAGCTTCATCAGTGCAACTCATGCAAACATGCACTAAATACTTACCAGTGCATTTTGACTGGCCGTTGCCATAGTTACTGTAACCCTGGTGACATTTGCAGCTGTATCCGCCTTGATTATTGTAGCAGTGTGCGTTTGTGCCGCAAACATCTGGATCATCTCTACACTCATTGGTGTCTGTGAGAGAGAGAAGACTGTCAGTGTTGTTAACGTCATTTTAACAAAACACATTCTTGATGTAACAAATAAACCAGAAGTGATATCAACCTTTCTATCAGACATTTTTACATATTATGCAAATAAATTATTTATTTATTTTTTCATTTCCTAGATGATAAATGAGCGGTAATTGCATGCAACAAAGTCCTATTCAAATGCTTTGTTAAATTATATGCAAAAAATTGCTAAATGTTTTAAACGTGGATCTCTGGTGTTTATAATCAGGGCTCCAAAAAAAACAAATCTTGAGGCAAAATTGCAACCAGAACTTAGAAAATTAAAAATGTCTCTGTTTTTGTCTGTCATCTAATAAACAATATATTTCATAATATTATTTTCTCGCCCTATTTTATTAATGGTTTGAACACTATAGTAAACATTTTGATTGAATTGGCACTGATTATAAGGATGTTCTTTGGTTTTATCAGTCAAATTAATTAAAAGCAATACAATTGAGGACACACACCTAAACAATCTGCGTCCAGTTTTGAAGGCCGGTATCCATCTCGACACGAGCAATTGTAGGAGCCCCTGGTGTTCACACACTCCAGATCACCTGAGCAATCATGTGTTTCCTCAACACACTCATTAATATCTGTTGGGGAAGCAGTCGATATTAGTTACAGTAATTATAACAGTAGTGGACTCTTATGTCCCATAATCCTCTCTCGTACGCCTACACTGTCCCGTTGCTGCTGTGAAGTTGGGTGTTGTTGACTGAAATCCTTCATTACAGGAGCAGGAGTAGCTTCCAGGTGTATTTACACACTGAGCGTGATTGCCACACACACCCGGCGTCACACACTCATCCTCATCTGTAAGAGAGACAGACACATGAGTGCAATCAGGAAGGAAACAACGAGATTACAACTACATCTGAGTGACATACAGGCCATTAACTGTGTGTTATGACAGAAACATACTGTATTAAAACACATAAAGTGCTCATTACCAACACAGCTGTTGTTTCTTCTTTCAAGTCCCTTGTCACATGTGCGAGATTCACTAGACACCAGGAACAGACCTGATGAAGAAAAAGAAAAAACAAGATCTTATTTTTGTGCTACTGAGTGTTTGAAATAACACAGCTCCAGTGTGTTATTTCAAACGGTGTTATTTTAAGTGTCCTCCTTCCACTAGCAGATCTAGTGATTATGTGTAAAGTTCATGTTGTTGATTCAGTAACACTCTGACAGAGTTCATTCAGAGAAAGATTCGCCAAACTGGTACCTCGTGATTCTTTTTGAACGGTTCACTAAGAGACCAGGCCCATCATTTGAACCAGACTACACTGATTGTGAGATATGTTTTTGATTCACTAAAAATAATTGATTCATACGAGTCATTTGACTTGGACTACACAAGTTCTGTGGAATGTTTTCCATTCACTTAACAGAACCGACTTATACGAGTCATTTGAAATGGATACACTGGATGCATGGTATATTTTTGATTCACTAAAAACAACATACTCATTTTAAGAGTCATTTGTGAATTGGACTACACTAGTCAAACTGTGTTTGAGTTTGTGTTTGTTGTCGCGTGCAGTGCAGTCAATTTAGAATGAAAGCAATGCAGCTCTGCAAACAGAGAGGTAACTTTGACATGACTTTTCCATGGCGCTGTGGATTTAAACGCTGCAAGATATGAGTGAATAAGATGCAGTCTTCACCGTGGCATGGTTAACTTTTGAACACATTTCAAGAGGACATGTGTGGACTGTTAGCATTCAACAGAATGCAAGAATATTGTATCTGTCTCGTCTTGTGTTCAATACAAGGTAAGTATTCAAAAAGTAATTAACCAACGTTTATAAAGTCTTAATATCGGTATTGAAAGTGATGAAATGGGGGCTTAATACAGTTTTTAGATCCTTAACAAGTAATGCCTGTACATGTATTGTTAGAGCACTTGGTTGCAGTCTGCATGCAAACAAAACATGCACTTTCACATATATACAAAACACTCATCTACTCGCACACACAAATGACCCCAAACGATTGTGGACGTGTTCAGGAAACCACAGATGTGCTGAAGATGTCTATTACGAGCTGAAGCAAGCGAGATGTGTCGAGCGATTCTACGGACTAAATGAACATTTCTCACAACTCTCAGAATAATCTGTTCTTCTGCAGAACGAGAGAGCGCTTCACACCATTTTCAGATCTTCTTTTCTCACCTGCTGTCTTTCAGTTTAACACAGAGCAACAGACGTGATGGTAGATATTCCACCCAACACACACTCACGTCATGCATTTCTTTTTTGGTTAACGTTGTGATATTTATTTCAATCTTACATGTCAGTGTCAAATCCAATGTCTAAACTCAGTAAACTGTGATCATAGATAAACCCCTAAATAAAGTTTAAGGGCAGTGAGTGTTTTTTTGTCTATATATTTATCTTTCAGTTTGACTGTTGGTGGTCTGTATAAGCAGAAGATGGCATTTGAGTAACTAGTTCAGCATTGTGTGTCAGGGGATCATGTGTGTGTATAAGTCTGAACTAGAGCGGATGTTCATCTCATCCATCTGTGGTTACTCTTCCGCAAGTTTCACAGTAACATTTGGCAAAATCGTGGTCGACTTCTAGATATAATTCTGCACTCGTCTCAACCCTCCCACAAGACTTTCTTTCTAGCATCTTATATTTTCACTAAGACATTATTTAGTATGTTTATTAAGATGTTTCCTCTTGGGAATGAATTTCAGATTTTATGGTCCCTGTTGGGACTTTTGGCTACATGTGTATGTATGCAAACCTTAACCCACAAACATGGTGCAAAATGAACACCAAGTGTCAAATGAAGGTGAGGGTGCCCACACATTAGATTTTACACTGCATCAGAAAGCATTTCAGTCTGATGCTGACGAAAAACACAAGAGCTTGTGAAACTGAAGCTCCGTCATAAAAGTTGAGAAAGCTTTAACTGTGCTGCACCACATTCTCACAGAGCTGCGCTGATCATTGAGAATTACAGAGAAGCGCTTTTGCTTGAAGAACTTTTAATATTCTTGGAACCTTTCAATTGGCAAAAAAAAAGGTTCTTTCAGTTTAGGTTTTTAAAATGTTCTTCAAAAATGGTTCTTTGAAGACCTGTTCACTGAAAGGTTCTTTGGGAAATGCTAAATAGTTCTTCTTTGGCTTTGGTGAAAAAAAACAAAACATTTTGGAACCTTTATTTTTAAGAGTGTAAAATATTCTAGTCTAAAGTGAAATAATAAGTTCTATATAATTAAAGAAACTGGATGTGACGTCATGAGTTTCACTCAATCAGCCTGTGGTTGAATGTAAATTATTATAACAATTTTAAAATGAAACAAAAATAACCTAAATAACCTTTTTTCACTATAAAGAACATTTCGTGGAACGTAAAGATTCCAAGGATGTGTAAAGGTTCTTCATGGAACCATCACTGTGAATAAATAACTTTTTGTTTTTAATAAGAGTGCTGGTGTCTTCAGCCCTTTTCTTCAAAATGAGAACTGTATTTCTTTCTCTACAGATGAACTAAATGAACTACTTCAATGAAATCCCACATTAACAAAAAGGTATAAAACCTTTAATATCCACCATTAAATAAACTCACTATAGATCCAATGACCAATATACACACACACAAATTCTCCTGAAGTTCACACATTGGTAGAGAATGACATTCACTGTCTACATCATCCACTAACAAACACTCTTCATCTTCAACACAACACTGCGTCTATTGGTTTAGCGTTTCAAATCTTACAAAAATATCTATAGAAACAGAGACATGCTTGTTTCACTTTCTTTTTATTTACCATTTCATAATTTGTCCTCATCTGTTCAAGATTCATCATAAACATTATACATGCTTTGGTGACACATTGTAAGATTTGTCATACCAATAAAGCACATTAGAAATGAAATGAGAAAGAAAGTGCAGCACCTTCTGTTTTCATGAACAACTAGAAAACAAAACACCAAATACTTTCTGAATTATATTTGAGAAGACAAAAAAGAGGAAACGGGCATTCAAACATATGATCAGAATGACATCTGATCTGTTCTCCAGAAACCGGATGAGATCATGAACAAATGAGACTCATTCATTAGCCAGACAGAAATGCACCATCTCTGCACACAATAAACAAAATATAATGCATATATTAAGTAATGGTCATTTTTGGACTGCACACTGGCAGCTTCATCAGTGCAACTCATGCAAACATGCACTAAATACTTACCAGTGCATTTTGACTGGCCGTTGCCATAGTTACTGTAACCCTGGTGACATTTGCAGCTGTATCCTCCTTGATTATTGTAGCAGTGTGCGTTTGTGCCGCAAACATCTGGATCATCTCTACACTCATCGATGTCTGTGAGAGAGAGAAGACTGTCAGTGCTGTTAATGTCATTTTGGTTTTATCAGTCAAATTAATTAAAAGCAATACAATTGAGGACACACACCTAAACAATCTGCGTCCAGTTTTGAAGGCCGGTATCCATCTCGACACGAGCAATTGTAGGAGCCCCTGGTGTTCACACACTCCAGATCACCTGAGCAATCATGTGTTTCCTCAACACACTCATTAATATCTGTTGGGGAAGCAGTCGATATTAGTTACAGTAATTATAACAGTAGTGGACTCTTATGTCCCATAATCCTCTCTCGTACGCCTACACTGTCCCGTTGCTGCTGTGAAGTTGGGTGTTGTTGACTGAAATCCTTCATTACAGGAGCAGGAGTAGCTTCCAGGTGTATTTACACACTGAGCGTGATTGCCACACACACCCGGCGTCACACACTCATCCTCATCTGTAAGAGAGACAGACACATGAGTGCAATCAGGAAGGAAACAACGAGATTACAACTACATATGAGTGACATACAGGCCATTAACTGTGTGTTATGACAGAAACATACTGTATTAAAACACATAAAGTGCTCATTACCAACACAGCTGTTGTTTCTTCTTTCAAGTCCCTTGTCACATGTGCGAGATTCACTAGACACCAGGAACAGACCTGATGAAGAAAAAAAAAAAAGATCTGTATAATTATCTATATTTGTGTATACATCCATAAATATATCCACAAATCCTTCCATCAAAATCTCCTGTCAGGTCGAATCAAAACTCTTTAATCAGGCAGACTTTAAGGAACCAATAGGTTTGTGCTATATTATTAAAACATGAAACACAACAAGTATTATTATTAGACATGAATTTTAAATTTAAAAGTTATTGTACTAACAATTTGGTGAATCTTTGGATATTAATACAATTCATCATATCTCATTTATTATGCAGAGCTATAAGTATTAAAATGCAATTCATTCAGCACGGACTCACAGTGCTGTTGAGTCTATGAAGGGAAAAATACTTCTGGAGGCAGTGCCACTGATAAGTGTGCACTATATTTGCTTGGAAGGGAGGGACCTTGGAAGTGTATCCTTCGCTTCACCCACAATCAGCAATCAGCAAAAACCAACGAATCAGCACTGAGCTCTGCCAAGTTTATTATGAAAATTCACTTGAGAAGCAGTCTGCATCGGTTGTACACTGCAGTGCATTGTGGGATTGAATGAGTGCAAGCAATAATGTCCTCTAAGTTCTCAAGACACCACACCAAATGTCTGTCCTCTCAAACAGTGCTCTATATATAAGGGTATGATTTCAGAGACAACCTGGTGCTTCATGAGTTGATTCTTTAAAAAGAACCGGTTCGTAAGAGTCATTTGTTCATGAATCAGACTATACTAGTTGTGCTGGATTTGTTTTTGCGTGCAGTCTGCAGGAACAACTCAACAGAAAGACTTTTGTTTGATAGATTTTTGGCTGCACACTGTATTATCTTTAACTTGAAGATATTCATCATCACACACACGCACATGAAGACAGTGAAGCATCTACTCACCAAAAAGAAGAAGTGTCCACTTCAGCTGTGTATTAGGAAACATCGCAACTGCTGTGAGATTCCTGTCTGTTTAGGCTTTGGTTTGTGATATACGAAATTCCAGTAAGTTTCTGTGTTTCGCTCTCCAGGTTTACTGTGATCTGATGGACGTGGATAAGTGCAAACATCCGTACTGATGAAACATCCTGAGCTGCAGGATGTTTCGTATTTACTTCATATGTGACTTTCAAGTCGAAATGAGAATATGAGCACATCTGAACATTCATGTTACTTATATGACACTATATCATTGTTTTTCTATCAGTTACTGATCTCTTCTATCTCCTAACTTGACCTTTGACCCCTAAACTAACTCATCATTTACAGACAAACATCATCTGGGCCATTTTTAAGCATTTCAACTAGCGCCGACACATCAGATGTCCTCCTAAGCCGCTCGTCAGGAGATTTCCCTACATTAGCGAGGACATTCCCAGCTAACAGCACACGTTCTCAAAACTTTGGCTAACAGTCTGGCAATGCTCTCTGAAAGCTGTGAACAAACGTCCTTCCAGGAACACTGATAGAATGTTCATTCAAAGTTATCTGGTCTTTACTAATGTTCTCGAAACGTTATATGCTTTCTGACGTACGTAGAAGAATATATTCAGACTGACACACAGCCGAGCAACACCACAAACAGCAAGTTTTCTCTGTCCGTCTACACTCATCAGTGTCATAAAATCATGTCATATTTATAAAGGTATTCTTCCGTAGAGTTGAAGTCTAAAAACATCAAAACATTCCTCACTTCCTCTGCAAAGCCTTTTTAGGCAGAAAACTCATCAAACCCAATTACAGGTAATGACGGAATTAAAGTGAAATTTCCGTTCACTCAGAATCTTCTTAACGTGAACCTGAAACATGCAGCATTTAAATAGACCAGCGTCTGTGTTTCACTTCTGTTTCTCTCACAAGTGTGTTGAGCATCTCTGTGCATGTGGCACTTTCCCAGCTAACAGAGAATGCTCTCAGAATGTCCTGGCAAGCTTCTCTCAAACGTCATGATCCATTGTTTCTCCTGTGTGATGTGACATGTGGCCAAGTACGGTTACCCATACTCGGAATTAGTGCTCTGCATTTAACCCATCCAAAGTGTACACACACACCGTGAACACACACCCGGAGCAGTGGGCAGCCATTTATGCTGCGGCGCCCGGGGAGCAGTTGGGGGTTCGGTGTCTTGCTCAAGGGCACCTCAGTCATGGTCTTGAAGGTGGGAGAGAGCGCTGTACATTCACTCCCCCCACCTACAATCCCTGCCGGTACGAGACCCCACAACGACCCCCCCCCCGCTGTAATGTTAATAGCATGTTTGACGTTATTTGGTTTTATAAATGTTTTCAAATCAGTATATATACGTCGTTCGTGGGATGTTTTTTTCTGAAACTTTTTAGTTAGACGTTCATCTAATGTTTTTTTGAAATGTTACTTTTTTAGAACGTCCAGAGAACATTCAAATGTAACGTTCCCATAATGTTTGCAAAATGATACAAGCGGAATCTCTTCAGATTTCCATCAGCTCATCAGGATGTATCGTCCTCTAGTCATCGATGACGCTATGAACAGAAACACAGACAAAAATACATACATAATACCATATGATTTGCGGTTTGGAAACGCCACAGTTTTTTCCACACAGGGTTTTTTTGCCTATTGAAGCCGCTGCGCTTTTGTGTGCATGATATGGCTCATTATATGCTGTGTTTACACAAACAGCTTGTTCCTGTTGCTGCTCGCAGCTCTTTTGGTCTTATGTGTGTGGGTTCTGTAAAAGTGTATGAATGACTCTCTGACACATCAAAGTGTCACCTTCACGTCCTCTCTTTTTTGGTTTTGAGCGGAAACAGTAACCATGGTAACGCATAGTTGATTAATCATGTGCCAACATTTCTAGAGAACTGCAGCATGAGTGCTTTGCAGTGTGAAACATTCCGCTAGAATGTTACAAAGTGTTGCTTAGCAACACACAACACTTATAAACAGAACCTCATTAAATATTCATGAGCTTCATACAGTCACTGTAACTTTCCTGCGGTGTGTTCAGTTTGAGATCCTGATTAAAGCAACATGATAAACAGATGGGACAGTAAGCTGCTCGCAGCCGTCAGTGAGTTGATTTTTTAATGGCTCTTGTGTTTATGACGTGATTCTCAGTTTGTTCCAGGTGGAAACCGAAGTCACTCCAGCTATTCCATAGGAAACGCTCCCAAATCAGACTATTGGTCACTTGCTGCTCAGACACAGTGACAAATAAGCATATAATTGTTCCGCTTCCTCTCATGCCCTCCAACATGAGCATGGGCTACCACCGGTCAAAAGTGTGCAGTCTGTAAGAACTGTTTTGAATGAATTTAACATTTTAATTAAGAAAAGACACATTAAATTGGTCGCAGCCATTAGTTTAGACACAATCTCACTGTGCTACTGAATAGAAATAGTGAAAATAAGGCTTTTTTTTTTTTTTAAATCTTAATGATGTGAATCACAGTCGCTGAGGTTGCAGTCACACGGAATCAGACTCCGCCCAGTGGGCGTGTCACTCTGAGCACAGACTCCGCCCTCTTCAGTGATTCAATTCAAGTTTATTTGTATAGCTCTTTTTACGATGCAAAGCAACTTTACAGCAAATTACGTTTCTACAATATTTAGTGGTAGTTTATCAGTGGTGACTGTCAGTTAATGCACATATGGCAGAAATGTACAGAAAATGTAATCAAACAGACGGTGAACACTATTAACAGCAATTATTATATGATGCAATCAAACTTATAGCAAAAGTTGGTATATAGTTCTGTATGTTGTTGATCTTTTGTACTCTCTGTTCATGTGTGTAAGCCGAATAACCGTTTCTTAATAGACTAATGCAGTAAATATTTACGATACAAAAAGCTTTGCCACAAAAAAAGCTAAAAGTTAACCGTTCGGTCCACCCTGCAGTCATTCCTCTGTCTTTATTTCTACTGGAAAACTGAGGGAGAGGGATTTCAGACGAGCAGACGTTTCCTTTCCAGCAGTTGTGACAGATTGCGTGTGTCTGTGTGTGTTTGAGAGAGGGAAAAAACACGTAATCAAGATTTAATTTCATTCACATGCGTTTCATAAACACAACCCTTTCTGGATTACAATCCACCATAAAAATGATACATTTCATTATTCTGGCTGCTGTGAGAATATGATTTTATGAGCAGTTCATTCATAATTCCATCTTAACTTCATTCTGTGGAGATTCTATGGGGTTACATAAAGTGAATAAATGTTTTAGTATAAACAAATATTGTTATTAAGAATAATGCACTGAGATTTCAATCACCAGTGAAGACATCATGAGTCAGAGGAAGCTGCCTCACGTGTCTGGGCGTTGAGCACGCTGAGGAAGCATTTGTGGATGGTGCATGTTCTATTTGTGGGGACATGGCCATCTTGGAGTTGCATGAAAGACTCCGTTATGTCAAACGTGGCGGGGTCCCTCTGCCTCTGCCGAGTTCCAGCGTTCGTCCAGCAAATCGGAGTTTCCCCCCAGAGGGAGTTCGTCACCCCTCAAGCACTCCGCAGCCGGTGGTGCGACCGGAGGGGCACGTTGGCCCCATTACAGGATGAAGGGAGCCAGCCGTTTCCTTCAGTCCGCCACCTGGAGACCAGATGTCCACGCTAGTGTTCCAGGAGCGCCATCTCTGGCTGTGTCTGGCCGACATGAAGGAGCATGTTAAGGTGCAGTTCCTGAATGCTCCCATGTCACAGACCGGCCTTTTCGGCGCCGCTGTCGAGAGCTTTGCCCAGCAGTTCTCGCCGGCACAGAAGCAGAATGAGGCGATCAAACACATCATGCGCCAGAGGAAACCTGCTGCTTCCACCCCGGCTGCAGCCCCTCAGCCTGCTCGTCGCCGTGGGCGCCCCCCTGCGGCTGCCCCTGCTCCCACACAGCAGCAGCCTTCCACCAGGCAGCGTCGTGGAGCCGGTCGCAGGCAGGACACCCAGCCCGTCCATGCCCCCACCAAACCCGGCGGTAAGCGCAAGTGCAAGAGGCCCTGAGACGGGTGACCCAGAGATGGAGGAGACTGCTTATCGGGAGATGGTGACCGCACCATTCCCTCCCCTGGAGGAGGTCCAGGTGGAGAATCTTTTGTTTCATTCTGTTTTTGTTCCCAAAACTTCAACAAAAGAGCGGTTTCCTCAGTCTCTGGGTCTCAAGAGGAGGAGAGTGTTGAACAGTGCATCACAGGGTTACTTCCCTCCTCCTCTCTCGCCAGCGGGCAGCAGTGGGTTGCCCAAGAGCACCCTTCCTGCCCATTCGTGGAACCAGGTAAGGGTTGTAGCACTTGAGTCCCCACTTTATGTCGTCACGCGCCGGGCTGTCTTCACACGCTGCACGAGGAGGAATCAGGTGAGTGTTACACTTCACACCCAGACTCCACCCGCTGCTGTCACAGGCCCCGGGCCAAGTCCCTGTGTTCCACCATGCTGCCCCATCGCGGGTACGTCGGTGGCACCGTTGGTTCCATTGGCACGGTCTCTTGGAGCCTGGTTAGCACTCCCCGGTCCGTCTCTGTGGCTCCTGCGGACCATCAGACTCGGCTATGCTATTCAGTTCGCCCGGCGTCCCCCCAAGTCCAGGGGCATCCGGTTCACTTCAGTCAAGGATGTCGATGCCTCTGACTTGCGTGTGGAAATCGCAGTCCTGCTGGCAAAGGACACGATAGAGCCGGTCCTTCCAGCCGATATGACGTCAGGGTTTTACAGCCCTTACTTCATTGTGCCCAAGAAAAGCAGTGGGTTATGACCGATCTTAGATCTGCAAGTTTTGAACTGTGTGCTTCACAAGCTGCCATTCAAGATGTTGACACAGAAACGCATTTTCGAATGCATCCGTCCCGGCAGTGTCAGGGGTATGGACGGGTCCCCAACTGAACACAAACATGTTCATATTATACTTAATATCATACTTTATATATTCATGCTATGCTCACTGATGTTATTTAAATTATTAGTTAATCATTCAAAATCTAAACACATAAAAATATTCTCAGGCTGACCCATGACTC